AACACTCCCGTCTTCGTTATACAACGTTTATTATCAAACTCTATACTATACTTTTATCCCTGTATTTGAAAATCATATTACCGCCATACTTTAAATATCACTTCCACTACGTAAACCACTTTCAACGAATTCAAAATCAAAGACCTTTTATCAAACATATTTTTAGAAAATTCCTCTATTAAACTTTTTCATAAAACCTTGCCTGAAAACCAGTAGCTGCCGAAATCCCTCCATTAGTAAACCCGAACTGACCTCTAGTTTTTTCATGATAAAATTCCCTTGTTTCTATATTCTAATTTCCAAAGCTTTGTCATCTGGAGCATCCTCTTCAAAAGTTGTTAGTAATTTACGTATATCTTTATATAAATATAGACATTGTAAATTATCACTATTCATAGCTAAAAGCTTATTTTCCAAATCCTTTACATCAGCTATAAACCCGTCAGTTGTTACTGATATTACTCTACCTCCTAATAAATGGATATTGTGTAGACATTCACCTATTAAAGCTCTTGTAAAACCAGTTATATAACTAGCTAATATTGGGTTCGATAATAAACCACCTTCCCGCCTAACATAAGTATTTGTCTTTATGTCAAAACTCTTTTTACCACTAAGTCCCATTGACACCTGACCATAAATAGAATTACCAATCTCTTTGTACATATAATTATAAAATGTTTTCTTTTTATACCCACGCCTTTTTCGTTGTAATCCTTTAATTATACTTCTAAAAGGAGCTTCGTAATTTAATTCATATTTGAAACTATTTTCGAAAGACTCCTCCTTTTCTTCGATAGTCTCTTCTTTATTTTTCAAAGATTCTGTGGATAATTCTTTAATCTTTAATCTTTCTAAACGCCTTTCGTTCAAAGTCTTTAATAGATCATCTTCTTCTATTAACTCTGAAACATCTTCATCAAGTTTAATAACACTATTCATAATAAATTCTTTATCTTCACAAAATAGCGATAGCGGTATCTTTGAAGCACTGATAAAACCATCCTTAACCAAAGCTTTTCAGTCCTCGTAGTTATCATCATTATCTTTATTAATTACAAAATCTTTTTTGTTATTAACATCTTTTTCAATCTCGCTATTTGATTTAAAGGGTATTAAAACACCTTCGTTTACCTTTAGAATACACCCCATAGATTTTGCTACTAGATATTCACAACCCGTAATAACACTACTTCCTTTTAGAGGATAAATATCTACGTCATTATCAACACTACAGGGTATGGAAGGATACTTAGTGTCTATAGGAAATTCGAAATCTACGTCTACAACTATATAATTTAATAACAAATCTTCGTCATTTAATTCTCTAACGTTCTTATCAGTGATTCGTTTTGATTTATTTACATCGGGATGACCTAGAATAGACATTACCGTTGTATATGCGCTTGTTAAATCATAATCATATCAACAACGCTCCTCTTCGTCGTTAATAACATCCACGCCATACATCATAGACTCATTACGACCTCCCCTATAACCTGCTATAAACCCTATTAAATACTTTGACAAAGGTGTACCTCTAGCATCTTTAGATGTTATCCTATTCATTAAATTACCTAACACAATATCACTACGTACCTGATAACCTTTATAAGACTCGGATTTTCATTCTTTAATCACATAAGACCTTCCTATACCAGATAATGTTAGAGGAACCCCTATCTTATTAACACTTAGATTAAATTCTTCCATTGTACTAGCGTGTTTAAGGGTTATTAGAGAATCTTTTAAAGCATATTCCTCGAATAAGTCCTTATTATCATTAAGTAAATCTCTCATACGACCATTTCTGTATTCACCAATATCAATCTTTTTAAATTCATCTCCATAAATATTCCCAACACTGGCTAAACTTTTAGCCCCTTGTGGAGCTATTAAAATAGTATCTCTAAAATGGACCCTGCTTTTTGAAAATTCAAACTCTAGTGGTTTTCCTCTTGTTACAAAAGACCTGTCTACTAAATCTAAAGACTCTTTTATTAAATAAAAATCTTTTAACATCGATAGATCAGAGCCTGATTCATGCATACATAAAAATAAACTTCTATTTACCATAATATTAAGTTTTGACAAATTTTTATTAAACTTAAAAACCATTCTAGATTTTGGTTTTGATACACATTTTTTAATTCTGGCCAAGGTTTTACTATTAATAGCAACCTCTTCCTTATTACTTATTCTATTTAATAGCTTTACAAAATTACAAAAACTTTTGAAATGGTCTTCATCTTTCAAAGATTCACTGTCCATTACTAAATCTGTGAAAGTGTATTCATTAACATATTTAATAAGGCTAGAAACATTTGTTTTTGGATATGTAAAGAGTGTAAAATCCTCCATATCTCATTTTTGAACATTGCTCTCTTCCTCTAATGTAGAACATATCATGTTTATTAATTTATCATTCTCAAAATACATATCTACTCGGATTTTTCTAATAAGAAAATCGATACTACGACAACACAGCTCAATGATTTCAGACTCTTTTTCAGATTCCACTTGAGAAGGTTTTTCTTTTATTCCAAAATCACTATGTTTAATACCATCTATTTTAATAATAGGTACTTTAATATAAATACAACTATTAACAGCTATTTGTACAGATAATAAAACATTAAGTTTTTCAAGCGAAGATTTTAATTCAAACTCACTATCAAAACCACTTATACTATTTAACAACACTGTAATTCCTTTATTCTGTAATTTCTTACTTATAACAGGATGTATCATTCTTTCCAAGTCAATTGTTAATATTTTTATATCAGATAATAAATCTGGTTTTGCTTCTGCTTCTAAAATAGATAAACCTTCTTTAATATTAAAGACTAAATTCATTAATAACAATAAGATCAGATTATAAAACAAAGTATTTAGTGTTATGGACATCCCTTTACCAACTTTTAAATCCTTTAAGTCCTTAAATTCTTTTATTAACAAACCTACAATAGGAATGTCTAAATTTGGATCGTTAATAAACCCTTTATCGTTAAATCTTTTAAGCTCTTTAAAAAGACTTTCGATTTTTTGAATTATTTCTCTTTCCTCGTCTATATTCTTTATTTCAACCTGCTTTATTTTTAGAAGATTATTTTCTAAATACAGAAGTTCTTTTAGAAACTTTATATTTTCGTTGTTTGTATTTGTTATTCTTGTTGCTTTCTTATTTAATTTATTCTTAATATTTTGTTCACCGATTAACAAGTCCAAATTAGTAAGGTAACTCAATTCTTATAAATAACGTAATACTAAACCCAGCTACTTACATCTCATAGCCTTCGTAATTATACTCCGATAATTAATTAATACCCTAATTAGATATAACCTTATCATATCTTTCTAACTGGTAATTAACTTAAAATCAATTGGTGAACTTGCTCTGTTAGATGGTACTATTATAAAATATCTATTGGGTTACTAAAACTAGGTTGGCCCGCAAAGCCGTTAGATAATAGTTTTATGAATCGAACATTTTCTACCAATTCCAAGATATTTTATAAATTATCGTAACTTGACTAATAATTATTATTATTTATTCATTATAGCTGCAATCTAACAGAAATGGCGAACTTTAATAGTATCCATTATTTAAATAATAATAATAACTTCATACAATAGGTTTATTTGTATACATCGTTTTATTATTTAAATACCCTCATCTATCGAATAGACTTTTAGTTCGATTAAGTTAAAATAAATCAAACACCCTAAACCCGCCCAATGGATATGTTATTTATTAATCATTTCTAACTTTTATTAGTTAAAAACTAATAAAACTCTATGATAATTAATAAATAACCACTATTAATATAACTGCTATAACAGCTAGTTGTGTACTGGAAATAATTTCGACCGCTTCCAGTAGATGCATAGGATTACACAAACACAAAAAGGGACATTTCCAAGTCCCCAAGTTTTTAACGAATTTCTGGGGATTTTTTCTATCCTATGCACTAAATGACTGTTTTGATACCTAGAGGACATTTCCAAAATCTGATTTTTAGATTATCAGATTATAAAGAAAAGTCTTCACTATATATTCTTTGTCTTAATACTTCTACGTTCCTTAATCATTTCGCTACTATACTCTCTAAAAAACCTATCTTTTTCAAAACTTCCTATAGTCTTTAGTATATAATCCACAAATGCCTCGTTTTCTTTTGTACGGGGCACTGCTCTCGAAACAGTTTTTCTCCTTTTTAGATGACTTATATTATTCAAAGTCAATTTTACATCCGCTGTAGGAGCGTGTTTATAAATAAAATCTATTAAGGATTGATAATTTTTGAAAAAGTCTTTTGGAATACCGTATCTATCTTCTTCTTCAATAGCTAAACTAGCCTTTATAAAACCTCGAACCGCTGTTTCTATATAAGATAAATATACTTTTGGAGCTGTTCTAAGAAAACTCTTTCCTACTCAAACAGGAGTATTAACAGTTTGTTTTAATCGTCGTATTTTTGAATATTCGTCAACAGTTTTTCAAGGTATGGAATCCAACATAGTAACACTCCCACCTTCTTTAATAACACTCCCGTCTTCTGTTATACAACGTTTATTATCAAACTCTATACTATACTTTTTATCCCTGTATTTGAAAATCATATTACCGCCATACTTATAAATATCACTTCCACTACGTAAACCACTTTCAACGAATTCAAAATCAAAGACCTTTTTATCAAACATATTTTTAGAAAATTCCTCTATTAAAAATTCTTTTTCATAAAACCTTGCCTGAAAACCAGTAGCTGCCGAAATCCCTCCATTAGTAAACCCGAACTGACCTCTAGTTTTTCATGATAAAATTCCCTTTGTTTCTATATTCTTAATTTCCAAAGCTTTGTCATCTGGAGCATCCTCTTCAAAAGTTGTTAGTAATTTACGTATATCTTTATATAAATATAGACATTGTAAATTATCACTATTCATAGCTAAAAGCTTATTTTCCAAATCCTTTACATCAGCTATAAACCCGTCAGTTGTTACTGATATTACTCTACCTCCTAATAAATGGATATTGTGTAGACATTCACCTATTAAAGCTCTTGTAAAACCAGTTATATAACTAGCTAATATTGGGTTCGATAATAAACCACCTTCCCGCCTAACATAAGTATTTGTCTTTATGTCAAAACTCTTTTTACCACTAAGTCCCATTGACACCTGACCATAAATAGAATTACCAATCTCTTTGTACATATAATTATAAAATGTTTTCTTTTTATACCCACGCCTTTTTCGTTGTAATCCTTTAATTATACTTCTAAAAGGAGCTTCGTAATTTAATTCATATTTGAAACTATTTTCGAAAGACTCCTCCTTTTCTTCGATAGTCTCTTCTTTATTTTTCAAAGATTCTGTGGATAATTCTTTAATCTTTAATCTTTCTAAACGCCTTTCGTTCAAAGTCTTTAATAGATCATCTTCTTCTATTAACTCTGAAACATCTTCATCAAGTTTAATAACACTATTCATAATAAATTCTTTATCTTCACAAAATAGCGATAGCGGTATCTTTGAAGCACTGATAAAACCATCCTTAACCAAAGCTTTTCAGTCCTCGTAGTTATCATCATTATCTTTATTAATTACAAAATCTTTTTTGTTATTAACATCTTTTTCAATCTCGCTATTTGATTTAAAGGGTATTAAAACACCTTCGTTTACCTTTAGAATACACCCCATAGATTTTGCTACTAGATATTCACAACCCGTAATAACACTACTTCCTTTTAGAGGATAAATATCTACGTCATTATCAACACTACAGGGTATGGAAGGATACTTAGTGTCTATAGGAAATTCGAAATCTACGTCTACAACTATATAATTTAATAACAAATCTTCGTCATTTAATTCTCTAACGTTCTTATCAGTGATTCGTTTTGATTTATTTACATCGGGATGACCTAGAATAGACATTACCGTTGTATATGCGCTTGTTAAATCATAATCATATCAACAACGCTCCTCTTCGTCGTTAATAACATCCACGCCATACATCATAGACTCATTACGACCTCCCCTATAACCTGCTATAAACCCTATTAAATACTTTGACAAAGGTGTACCTCTAGCATCTTTAGATGTTATCCTATTCATTAAATTACCTAACACAATATCACTACGTACCTGATAACCTTTATAAGACTCGGATTTTCATTCTTTAATCACATAAGACCTTCCTATACCAGATAATGTTAGAGGAACCCCTATCTTATTAACACTTAGATTAAATTCTTCCATTGTACTAGCGTGTTTAAGGGTTATTAGAGAATCTTTTAAAGCATATTCCTCGAATAAGTCCTTATTATCATTAAGTAAATCTCTCATACGACCATTTCTGTATTCACCAATATCAATCTTTTTAAATTCATCTCCATAAATATTCCCAACACTGGCTAAACTTTTAGCCCCTTGTGGAGCTATTAAAATAGTATCTCTAAAATGGACCCTGCTTTTTGAAAATTCAAACTCTAGTGGTTTTCCTCTTGTTACAAAAGACCTGTCTACTAAATCTAAAGACTCTTTTATTAAATAAAAATCTTTTAACATCGATAGATCAGAGCCTGATTCATGCATACATAAAAATAAACTTCTATTTACCATAATATTAAGTTTTGACAAATTTTTATTAAACTTAAAAACCATTCTAGATTTTGGTTTTGATACACATTTTTTAATTCTGGCCAAGGTTTTACTATTAATAGCAACCTCTTCCTTATTACTTATTCTATTTAATAGCTTTACAAAATTACAAAAACTTTTGAAATGGTCTTCATCTTTCAAAGATTCACTGTCCATTACTAAATCTGTGAAAGTGTATTCATTAACATATTTAATAAGGCTAGAAACATTTGTTTTTGGATATGTAAAGAGTGTAAAATCCTCCATATCTCATTTTTGAACATTGCTCTCTTCCTCTAATGTAGAACATATCATGTTTATTAATTTATCATTCTCAAAATACATATCTACTCGGATTTTTCTAATAAGAAAATCGATACTACGACAACACAGCTCAATGATTTCAGACTCTTTTTCAGATTCCACTTGAGAAGGTTTTTCTTTTATTCCAAAATCACTATGTTTAATACCATCTATTTTAATAATAGGTACTTTAATATAAATACAACTATTAACAGCTATTTGTACAGATAATAAAACATTAAGTTTTTCAAGCGAAGATTTTAATTCAAACTCACTATCAAAACCACTTATACTATTTAACAACACTGTAATTCCTTTATTCTGTAATTTCTTACTTATAACAGGATGTATCATTCTTTCCAAGTCAATTGTTAATATTTTTATATCAGATAATAAATCTGGTTTTGCTTCTGCTTCTAAAATAGATAAACCTTCTTTAATATTAAAGACTAAATTCATTAATAACAATAAGATCAGATTATAAAACAAAGTATTTAGTGTTATGGACATCCCTTTACCAACTTTTAAATCCTTTAAGTCCTTAAATTCTTTTATTAACAAACCTACAATAGGAATGTCTAAATTTGGATCGTTAATAAACCCTTTATCGTTAAATCTTTTAAGCTCTTTAAAAAGACTTTCGATTTTTTGAATTATTTCTCTTTCCTCGTCTATATTCTTTATTTCAACCTGCTTTATTTTTAGAAGATTATTTTCTAAATACAGAAGTTCTTTTAGAAACTTTATATTTTCGTTGTTTGTATTTGTTATTCTTGTTGCTTTCTTATTTAATTTATTCTTAATATTTTGTTCACCGATTAACAAGTCCAAATTAGTAAGGTAACTCAATTCTTATAAATAACGTAATACTAAACCCAGCTACTTACATCTCATAGCCTTCGTAATTATACTCCGATAATTAATTAATACCCTAATTAGATATAACCTTATCATATCTTTCTAACTGGTAATTAACTTAAAATCAATTGGTGAACTTGCTCTGTTAGATGGTACTATTATAAAATATCTATTGGGTTACTAAAACTAGGTTGGCCCGCAAAGCCGTTAGATAATAGTTTTATGAATCGAACATTTTCTACCAATTCCAAGATATTTTATAAATTATCGTAACTTGACTAATAATTATTATTATTTATTCATTATAGCTGCAATCTAACAGAAATGGCGAACTTTAATAGTATCCATTATTTAAATAATAATAATAACTTCATACAATAGGTTTATTTGTATACATCGTTTTATTATTTAAATACCCTCATCTATCGAATAGACTTTTAGTTCGATTAAGTTAAAATAAATCAAACACCCTAAACCCGCCCAATGGATATGTTATTTATTAATCATTTCTAACTTTTATTAGTTAAAAACTAATAAAACTCTATGATAATTAATAAATAACCACTATTAATATAACTGCTATAACAGCTAGTTGTGTACTGGAAATAATTTCGACCGCTTCCAGTAGATGCATAGGATTACACAAACACAAAAAGGGACATTTCCAAGTCCCCAAGTTTTTAACGAATTTCTGGGGATTTTTTCTATCCTATGCACTAAATGACTGTTTTGATACCTAGAGGACATTTCCAAAATCTGATTTTTAGATTATCAGATTATAAAGAAAAGTCTTCACTATATATTCTTTGTCTTAATACTTCTACGTTCCTTAATCATTTCGCTACTATACTCTCTAAAAAACCTATCTTTTTCAAAACTTCCTATAGTCTTTAGTATATAATCCACAAATGCCTCGTTTTCTTTTGTACGGGGCACTGCTCTCGAAACAGTTTTTCTCCTTTTTAGATGACTTATATTATTCAAAGTCAATTTTACATCCGCTGTAGGAGCGTGTTTATAAATAAAATCTATTAAGGATTGATAATTTTTGAAAAAGTCTTTGGAATACCGTATCTATCTTCTTCTTCAATAGCTAAACTAGCCTTTATAAAACCTCGAACCGCTGTTTCTATATAAGATAAATATACTTTTGGAGCTGTTCTAAGAAAACTCTTTCCTACTCAAACAGGAGTATTAACAGTTTGTTTTAATCGTCGTATTTTTGAATATTCGTCAACAGTTTTTCAAGGTATGGAATCCAACATAGTAACACTCCCACCTTCTTTAATAACACTCCCGTCTTCTGTTATACAACGTTTATTATCAAACTCTATACTATACTTTTTATCCCTGTATTTGAAAATCATATTACCGCCATACTTATAAATATCACTTCCACTACGTAAACCACTTTCAACGAATTCAAAATCAAAGACCTTTTTATCAAACATATTTTTAGAAAATTCCTCTATTAAAAATTCTTTTTCATAAAACCTTGCCTGAAAACCAGTAGCTGCCGAAATCCCTCCATTAGTAAACCCGAACTGACCTCTAGTTTTTCATGATAAAATTCCCTTTGTTTCTATATTCTTAATTTCCAAAGCTTTGTCATCTGGAGCATCCTCTTCAAAAGTTGTTAGTAATTTACGTATATCTTTATATAAATATAGACATTGTAAATTATCACTATTCATAGCTAAAAGCTTATTTTCCAAATCCTTTACATCAGCTATAAACCCGTCAGTTGTTACTGATATTACTCTACCTCCTAATAAATGGATATTGTGTAGACATTCACCTATTAAAGCTCTTGTAAAACCAGTTATATAACTAGCTAATATTGGGTTCGATAATAAACCACCTTCCCGCCTAACATAAGTATTTGTCTTTATGTCAAAACTCTTTTTACCACTAAGTCCCATTGACACCTGACCATAAATAGAATTACCAATCTCTTGTACATATAATTATAAAATGTTTTCTTTTTATACCCACGCCTTTTTCGTTGTAATCCTTTAATTATACTTCTAAAAGGAGCTTCGTAATTTAATTCATATTTGAAACTATTTTCGAAAGACTCCTCCTTTTCTTCGATAGTCTCTTCTTTATTTTTCAAAGATTCTGTGGATAATTCTTTAATCTTTAATCTTTCTAAACGCCTTTCGTTCAAAGTCTTTAATAGATCATCTTCTTCTATTAACTCTGAAACATCTTCATCAAGTTTAATAACACTATTCATAATAAATTCTTTATCTTCACAAAATAGCGATAGCGGTATCTTTGAAGCACTGATAAAACCATCCTTAACCAAAGCTTTTCAGTCCTCGTAGTTATCATCATTATCTTTATTAATTACAAAATCTTTTTTGTTATTAACATCTTTTTCAATCTCGCTATTTGATTTAAAGGGTATTAAAACACCTTCGTTTACCTTTAGAATACACCCCATAGATTTTGCTACTAGATATTCACAACCCGTAATAACACTACTTCCTTTTAGAGGATAAATATCTACGTCATTATCAACACTACAGGGTATGGAAGGATACTTAGTGTCTATAGGAAATTCGAAATCTACGTCTACAACTATATAATTTAATAACAAATCTTCGTCATTTAATTCTCTAACGTTCTTATCAGTGATTCGTTTTGATTTATTTACATCGGGATGACCTAGAATAGACATTACCGTTGTATATGCGCTTGTTAAATCATAATCATATCAACAACGCTCCTCTTCGTCGTTAATAACATCCACGCCATACATCATAGACTCATTACGACCTCCCCTATAACCTGCTATAAACCCTATTAAATACTTTGACAAAGGTGTACCTCTAGCATCTTTAGATGTTATCCTATTCATTAAATTACCTAACACAATATCACTACGTACCTGATAACCTTTATAAGACTCGGATTTTCATTCTTTAATCACATAAGACCTTCCTATACCAGATAATGTTAGAGGAACCCCTATCTTATTAACACTTAGATTAAATTCTTCCATTGTACTAGCGTGTTTAAGGGTTATTAGAGAATCTTTTAAAGCATATTCCTCGAATAAGTCCTTATTATCATTAAGTAAATCTCTCATACGACCATTTCTGTATTCACCAATATCAATCTTTTTAAATTCATCTCCATAAATATTCCCAACACTGGCTAAACTTTTAGCCCCTTGTGGAGCTATTAAAATAGTATCTCTAAAATGGACCCTGCTTTTTGAAAATTCAAACTCTAGTGGTTTTCCTCTTGTTACAAAAGACCTGTCTACTAAATCTAAAGACTCTTTTATTAAATAAAAATCTTTTAACATCGATAGATCAGAGCCTGATTCATGCATACATAAAAATAAACTTCTATTTACCATAATATTAAGTTTTGACAAATTTTTATTAAACTTAAAAACCATTCTAGATTTTGGTTTTGATACACATTTTTTAATTCTGGCCAAGGTTTTACTATTAATAGCAACCTCTTCCTTATTACTTATTCTATTTAATAGCTTTACAAAATTACAAAAACTTTTGAAATGGTCTTCATCTTTCAAAGATTCACTGTCCATTACTAAATCTGTGAAAGTGTATTCATTAACATATTTAATAAGGCTAGAAACATTTGTTTTTGGATATGTAAAGAGTGTAAAATCCTCCATATCTCATTTTTGAACATTGCTCTCTTCCTCAATGTAGAAACATATCATGTTTATTAATTTATCATTCTCAAAATACATATCTACTCGATTTTTCTAATAAGAAAATCGATACTACGACAACACAGCTCAATGATTTCAGACTCTTTTTCAGATTCCACTTGAGAGGTTTTCTTTTATTCCAAAATCACTATGTTTAATACCATCTATTTTAATAATAGGTACTTTAATAATAAATACAACTATTAACAGCTATTTTGTACACGATAATAAAACATTAAGTTTTTCAAGCGAAGATTTTTCAATTTCAAACTCACTATCAAACCACTTATACTATTTAACAACACTGTAATTCCTTTATTCTGTAATTTCTTACTTATAACAGGATGTATCATTCTTTCCAAGTCAATTGTTAATATTTTTATATCAGATAATAAATCTGGTTTGCTTCTGCTTCTAAATAGATAAACCTTCTTTAATATTAAAGACTAAATTCATTAATAACAATAAGATCAGATTATAAAACA